AAATATCGATACATCCCTAATTTTCTGAGTTTAAAATTTTTAAAAAATCAACTTTTATTTATCCCCGCTTCTAGCCATCTGACCACAAGAATAACGAACATATCAACAAAAATTAAATGAGCTAATTTTTCAATTCATCAGTATTTGGTGTCAAATCTCTGAAGTATAATTTTAGAAGGGCTAACTGATCAATTTATTTTTTGCATGTGCTAATGAGTATAATATTGGTCAAAAATATATAAGAATTATAATATATTCTTTGATTTGTAAGGATTGCTTGATGAATCAAGAACCTTTCAGTTATTTAAATTAGAAAGCCTGGATTTAACCGATTTTTAAAAAACCGATAAATTTATTTTAGCCAAATATTACCTATTAAATTTGGCCAAAAATTGGAAAGATTGAACACTCTATTGGCGAAATCCTGAGGCTTAAATCAAAATTGAGTTTCTGAACAACCACTAGAAAAGGGGGAAAATAAAGAAATATATTTTATAATATTCTTCTACCGATCTTACGATAATATTTGAATGATGGGATTGTATTGGTGATATGCGATATCAAATTCACAGAGGCCTAACTCTGAACTCAACAATCACGTAATTTATTAATAAACATTTGGCTAGTTTCTTCAAATTCTAAAATACTTCTGCAATTTTCATGGTGTCAATAAAATATTTTTTTTTAAAAAAATTGCATAAAATCTCTAGTATCATTAAATTATTTGTTGATATATTCTATTGCAAAGAAAATATCGAGTTTCTAATAAGGCGTTTTCTTCTCAAGATTTTTAGGCCATTTTAACATTTCACTAGGTGCACTCAGCTCCTCTAGCCCTGCATTCATAGTTAGGCGAAATCGTGGCTAATCACAAAATCCACGAATATTTTAATGATAAATGGTTTTTAAAAATATTTTCATAATCTGCATTGGGAGGGGTTGTTATTGTCCCCATCCCCGCTGAATCCTTCCATTATTCCACAAACTTCATTAAGACAAACTACTAAATTCGAATAATAAAAAAATAACTAATGATATATATACCATAAACCCTTTTGGGTATTATGAGGGGGGGGGGGTCAAAAAGGCATTTATATTCTCCTCTCCTGGAATTTTTCTCTTTAAATCCCATTTATAATAAAATATTTAAAATATGGTGTGATTATACCTAAAACAAATTATTTGTTATTCGATATTCGATTCGATTAGTATTTTACGAATAACACAATTATTCGATTCGAAAATTCGAATAAGGAAAATATATTATTAGTCGAATAATTTTTTATTCGAGATTATTCGATTAAAATAATTTATATTAATAAATATCGAAAAATTATCATATATTATTAGTAGGAATTATTTGCAATTATTCCTATTTAATAAAATTTCCAGTGGAATAATGAAGTAACATTTTATATTTCTAAATGTTGTTAACGGCTGTTTTTATTCGAATAATTCATAATACAAAATAACTTCCGAAAATTGTTTTATGATGGACGAAGAAAGTATTTATTTATATGTAATTTATAACACATATACAATTATAAATAACTAGTAGCTATCCCGTCAAGAATGACGGGAACCAGATATTTCTCCTTTGTTTGATGATGGAGAAATCATAAATTTGACTTTTTGCAAAAACTTTGTGTTTTAAAAATTTTTTGTTGGTATATTTGTCTTCTACATGATATTAATATATTGATTTTTCTACATTATACATAAATAAACTATATATGTATCTATATTATCTTACTAATAAAATTTGTTTGTCTTTTTTTATCCATAGTTAAATTTTACAAAATAAATTTAATATGCTATCTTTTTTAATTTACGGTTAAATAAATTTTTTAGAATTGAATCGAATATTCGTACAAATACGAATAATGAATTATTTGATTCGTATTTTTGTAGGTCTAGGTGTGATTTATTATTTTTCAACCACCGAAACAATCATAGATGCGCTACTGCATAAAACGAACTTGAAAGCAAATATATTTTACGGGCTTAGACCGTGTCCTGGGCTAATTTAATTTTGATACTTATGCTTTTTAGTATAGACTAAAAAGCTTTTGAACTAGGATACCCTATTTTGGTTTTTTTAAGTATTTGGTAGTATTGTTATTTTTCGTACTTTATTTTCGTTTTTTTGGTTGTTTAATTTTCGGTTTTTGCTTTTTCTTTTTTTTAGTTGTTTTATTTTTGGATTTTGTTTTTTCGTTTATTTTAAAATTTTTATTTTGCTTTTTTGGAATTTCGTAATAAGTCTACCATGACACAGGAAAGTAGCCACGGGGGGCCAGCCCACCCCCAAAAAATTTATTTGGCCCCCAAACCTCAAAAAAATCTCTGGCCTCTAAAAATGGCCCCATAAATTTTTCCAGCCCCCCAAATTTAAAAAATTTTTGTAATATATTATTTTTATATTTTTTAAATAAATTTTAAATATTTATTCAAAAAACATGTCTAGTTTGTAAATTTCTTTCTATCCTGTTTTATTTTTATTCAATAATAAATCATCATTTCATATTTTATAATTTTCATGTGTGTTTGTGTGTGAAATTATATAGGCACTTAATAATGTTTAAACTTATTTTAAAGATAATTATTTTATTTATTAAGGTTCAATCACAATATTATTATTATAATATAACCAGTTATTTAAAATAGCGGTGAATATTTTAGAATTATGATGAAAATACTGAGATAACAACAATTTTGGTAAGCCAACAAATTAACCGCAATATACGTTTAATCACAGGTGATTCAAAAGTAGGCTTTTACCTTCGACAAAAAATATCAATTGAAATTTGTCTATCCAACTGCATATCCATACATGGGTCATTAAGCCCCGCCGACCATACCTAAATATATTATTTTTTTAATTTCTCTTCTTTTAATTATATATTTTTATATATAGATATAGTATATCAATTGTAATTTTAATATTATTTTAAATAATATTTTCATCATTGTTTTGTTTTATTTTTATAACTGTGCATTTGCATTTAAGTATTTTAAAAATAAAAGTGATAATATAATCTTTACTATCTTAAATCAATATTTGATTTGATGCTATTTCTTAGCATACAGGAGCTACCTTTTCGTGAGATTGGTTCAACAAAAATTACGGATGCTGCAAACGATTAAAACATAATTTATTCTTCTGAACTATTTATAGCAATATTTCATACACTATCCAAAAAGATCCTGGATTAAATAAAATTATGAAACACCCAAAATTGCCCAATATACATCAACCCAGATTCAAAAGGAAATAATATCTAGAAGATATGGTTGGAAATATCTCAGATAAATATAACAAAAGTGAGTGTCATTTTTTTGTCATGAGGCAAAAGATGCATAAGATTGTGAAAACCTAAGCATAATTATTCGCTATATTTTTTCTGGAAAAATTCAAGAAAATTTAATAGGATTATTAGTTCTAAGTGTCTTTCTACTGAAAGCATTACTGATTGCATTTTTAAAAAACTTAATGAGTTAAATATATTCAACGAATATAATAAGCCAGGTTTATGATGGTGCAAACGACATGTCTGATCGAATTGGAGGAGTGCAAATCCTTCAAAAAAAATATAAAAAGTTCCTTTTATATGGTGCAACCACAAGTTGCATCTTGTGGTTCAAAATTGGTATAATATTGTTATCATTTCTAATTTTTTTAAATTTATCTAATGCATTGTATAATTTTTTAGACATTTTAAAGTATCCTGTAAATATACAGGTCATATCTTAAGAGACTTTTAGACCAGAGGTGGACTGGTCATTTAAAAATATCTCGCATCATTTATGAGAATTTTGAGGCTATTGGTGAAGTATTATTTTATCAAAGATTTCCACTCATGATTAGTCAAAGTCTCTGGTCTTTTATCTCAATGCGTTAATATAAATTACGTTATATTAGCCATTATAATTTATGAGATATAATAACAATAGATCCACCAAATAATAATTATCTACAGTCAGTAAGTACTAATCTAGTGGATGCTAAATATTGTATTGATTCCACTATCAATATATTAAAAAATAAAAGAAGCGATAATTCTTATGATTTGATTAGAATTAAAGCCGAAAAACTTTTAGCAAAATTTAATCTCACTCCCCACAAATCATCAAGGGTACATAAAACCGGCTATAAATTTTCAAGATTTTTTAGTCGAGACCAAATTACAATTTGATTTGTGAAAAAGACTCCAAATGGAGTCTTTTAAAAAGGAATTATTATGAAATTATTGATTACTTTGTGTTGATCGTTTTTAGATAAATTTACACAAGATGACTATAATCTTCTATCATGTTTTAATACCCTGATTATTTTACATAGGATAAAATAGCCCGATTAAAATCATTTTTAAACTTAAATATGGAAACGTTACATCATGAAATGAAAATAGCTAAAGGATTATTAGATGCAGAAGTTAAAGAAACATAATTTTGAAAATATCCTAAATATTATGTATAAAAAATATCATTATGCATTTAAAGAATTGTATAAATGCTAATCATTAGGGTACCAACGACATCTTGTGTGGCCTCTTTTTCTACAATAGAGAGAGTTCTATCGAGCACTAGAGTCGATGAAAGATCAACGTAAGCAAAATTTTGTATTATGGCTTATGGAAAAAAAATAACACAAAATTTATCCTTTAATTCATTTATGTTAAAAATTTTTAAAATCGTCATATTATATTATAGCATTATTTTGTATATTCATATTATAATATTATTTTGTATTCATATTATATTAAAAAAATTAATATATTTGGCAAAAAATTTCTATGAATGCTTAATTTGTTTTATTTTAAAAAAATTGTGGCCCCCTCAAGTAAACAGGGCCCCTTAGCTGAAAAATCTTGGCTACGGCCCTGCCAGAATATCGCCTTACTATTTTTTGTTAAAAAAATCATATTTTAAGTAATTAAATTCATGAACAATAGTAAAAACCAAAAAAAGTTTCTTTAAAAAATAAATAATCTTTCAACCTGTAGTATTGATCACGCTGGATTGTGAATCAATGTAGGGGGAGGGAATGAGAGGGGCAAAGGCACAGTGAGACATAGCCAAAGGAAAACCTTCTAGAGGTTCAGGTATCGAGCCGAGCTGAACTGCATCCAAGAACGGCTTAATCTTGCATTCATGGAAAAATGTCGAAACCTAATACAATTTATAAAATAATTTCAAGAAAAATAAATTTGCTGATTTTACAAAGATTTATATACTTTTATTAGTCAACAATGGCAAAATGTTAATAAAATTGGGTTGGTTCTATATGAGGACCGGGTGAGATTATTAAAATAAAACACTTGCTCTATTTAATGAGATTTTTTTTTTTTAAAAAAAAACTATAATTTATTAGTAGATTAATATTTTTGCTTAGTGGTTTAAAATAGAGATCTGCAAAGTAAGGCCGGGCCCATCCTGGCCCGAACGGGCTTCAGGCTGGGCTCGAGTCTAATTCTATTTAAAATAATTGGGTTTGGGCCGGGCCTGATATTTTTTAAAAAAACTTGGGCAGGGCCGGGTTGTACCTTGGAAATTTTAATATATCTAAATTTATCAATTTTATATTGAATTTATGTAAAATAAAAATATTTGATTTTATTTATTGAAACTAAACGACATATAACATATCTCTTTAATTTTGAGTAATTATAAAAATTAATTTCTATATTTAAATAAATTCGGGCCAGGCCAGTAAATTTTTTTAAAAAAAAATTCATATTCGGGCCGACAAAACTTTTTAAAAAAAATTCGGGCCAGGCCGGGCTTGAAAAATTAGGCCCGATGCAGATTACTAGTTTAAATGTTAGTAATTTTACAATATATTCTAATTTGTCAATTTAGTAAAAATATAAGGAAAATTTTCTTGGAATTTACAACAAAAATTGGTATACTAGGATATAGTCTGAAATGGGCAGATTTTAGCCAAAAAGCTTGTCCACTTGTTGTTCTGAAATATTTTAGCCTGCCTGCCAACATTTTTTTTAATAAGCTCCATCTTTTTTAAACTCTCACTCCAATATTCATCACCTAGTAAATTATATTCGTACAACCCACATAAATCCTCTAAATCATTTGAAGGTTTTTTGGGTGGAATGTGTTGGGGATTTTATTTCCTACATACAAGATAAGTTTACTTTTCGTACCCCTATTTTTTTTTGTTTATCTATTATTAATTCTTTGAATATAGATTGGCTATAAGTGGCAGAGTGCTAAAATAAGTTGAGCCCCCCCCCCCCACCCCTGTTTGGTGAACTTCTTCAAAATTTTAATGTTTATTTACTTTCCCTTTTTGCTAATTCTATTTGAACCAATATTTTTTGACACCTCCCCCCTCCACTAGTTGAAAAATGTTATGGTATCATTGTCAACAATGATAGTATCATTTTGAAAATTTACTATGAAGTTATTCAAAACTATATAACCTTATTTTTTTATAAAATGCCTGTACAAAAGTTTGGCAAATTCAAAATCTGCCAAAATTATTCAAAATGAGGTTTAGAAATAGTCAAAATTAAAAATCTCATATCCCATATATGTGATCCATAAGGTATAATCTGATGAAAATTCTGGTCAATTAAGCCATGGCCTTGCTAATTTTTTTAATAAATTTAAATTATGTCAATTTAAGATGTGGGAACCTGCTAAAATCTTTTGTAAGTAAATATTTTGTAATTTTCATACATAAAAAATCTTTTAAGATCAAATCAAAATTTTTAAATGTCCAGGCCATAAATCATAACTTTAAAAAAATCCCACCCTTAAAAATAAAAAGGGGTCAAGCCAAATAAATTTATTTCTCTGGCTAAAGGTTAATAAAAAGTATGATTTTACCAATAATGTGCATTGTGTTTGAATGCCTACCCTATTAAAAAACATGTTAAAAAATGATTTAAAGTTAAAAAAATAACACATTGGCCTTAAAATAACATATTGCCATTAAATTATATAAATCAGAGTTTGAAAAAAATCTTTGAAAAATTTTGAACAAAAATCTTTGAATATTTTTTTAATTTGTAATTCTATCTTGAAATATTTTTTATGCATGAATATTGCAAAAGATATACTTATAAATAATTTTTTTTAAAAAAAGATTTTGGCATTTTAAGGTAAAATTAGATCAAAAATCTCCCTTTGAGCTAAGTTCAAAATCTTTTTAGATATTTGAATTGTTTAAAGTTTTAAAATATTCTAGAATTATATTTTGGGCATATTTTATTTTAATGCTTATTATTTTTCTAAATAGTTTTAAAGTTATGAATTATATTTTTTGATATTTAGGATTTAGCTTTTAAAATTTTTCTTTGCTAAATTAGTTTTTGAAACCTGTATTAAATATATTATTTTCAAGAAAGCAAATTAAAATACATCTTTTAAGTTTATATAGTACAATAAAATATTTTATTTACCCTTAACTAAATCCAAAAATATATTAAAAAATTTACTAATTGTTATATTTTTACATCTGTAAATATTTTATAGGATTATAGGAAACTTGTGCAATTTTTTAAAAATAAACATACCTCTCTACAATATAAAGTTCCAATTCTATATATAGTCGGTTCAATTGAATTATTTGGTTTTGCTATAATCCCATAATAATGAATTAAATTCTCTAATTTTGCTAACTGATCGGCCCGATTTTTATTAGTAGCTGTGCCCTTTAATCTTTTTGCCATAATTTTTGATAACGATGAGCCTTCTCGAGCAAAAACAAAAGCTAGATAGATCATGTCTTCTCCAAAAGATCCAAGAACAGAATCTTTTGTTACTTTTTTATGAGCATCATTTAAAAGATTATACATGCCAACTATATCAAATTCCGAAAATTGGCAATACCTTACATAAGGATAAGGCAATTCATATGTTCTACCCTTTTTTGATCTGTACATATTTGAAAAAATTAGGAATTAAGATGCAATATATTGTCTGACACTTTATGACAGGTTGATTGCTAGTTTTAATATATTTTCACATAGATAAAAATAATTAACACTAGATTTTGCTTAATCCCACTCTGTCTAATTTTTGTACTATGTAAATGTATAACATTTGTAGCATATAAATAATAAATATATTTTACTACATTTTATTAGGTGATAATTTATAATTAAATTAATATTCTACAAAAGTTATAATAATTATCTGAATATACTATTCCATTCTATTAAATACATTTTAATATTTGATACAATTTCAATATAATAAGAATTATTGTTGGTAATTATTATTCAAGATATTAATTATAATATATTAAATGTCACAAGGCAAGGCTTAAAAATTTTTATTTAAAAAAAAGATTTTCATGAATTACTCCTCTTGAGTTTAGTTATATTATCATAGAAAATCTCCAGAACTAACAATTTCAAAATAAACATTTTTGGTTCCCTTTTTCTATGCAAATTAGTTTCCAATATAATATTTTTCAACCAAAACATGTGGAAATTATTCGTTCATATGTTTTAAACAATAGTTTAAGACTTTTTTAGATTTATCATTGTAATTGTATGGACGACATTATATATGTTATATAAGAATATGGAATCCATGTGGATTTTAAATTTCACGATTATGTAATAATTTATGGGGGAGTTAAATTCTAAAATTAATTCAAGCAAAATGTAGAGTACCTTACCTACCCTATAAATTAATAATATTTTACTCATGAACCTTTATTTACTTTTAATTTATATGAATTCTATACGAAATTATTGCAAATTAAAAGTATCTCAAATGGCTAAATCAGGCTTTTCAAATTTAAAAACTGCCGTCAGTAGATGAGTTGGCGTTGAAATTCTTCATCCACATCATTGACGAATTGAATTTACTACAAGCGAAACCATTGTAAAACATTTTTTTATTAGTAAAACCTTACAAAAAATTGCTAGTAATAAGTAATCTGTTACTTATTATAAAACATTTTTTTATTAATCAAACAATACAAAAAATCGCTAGTAATAAGTAATCTGAAATATTGAGAATCAGCAAATTCAATATCCAGTGAGTCACTTATATTTTCCATATTCAACGATTAAAAAATTATAAATTCAAGTTTTGATTCCTCATTTTTTGTAAAATTGATTTTGGGTTTCTTTTCAAAAATCCTTTCAAAAGGTGACTTTAATTAAAAAATATATATTATTTAATCATCGGTAATGACGATACAATATAATGGATTTGCAATGATATTCTTCTTCTTTTTTTTTCTTTTCCTTTTATTCTTTTAAAATAAATTTAAACATAAAAAACCACGAATAATAAAGTGACCTTTACAATTTCTTTTTAAATGTAATGAATATAATCAATCATTCGGAATTGTTATATCCCGAAATGTAAATAGCAGTGAAGTAGAAATCGCAAAGATCGTGGAAGACTACACATCGTCTGGTTGAGAAAATTAATAATCTTATATGTGGAGAAATATGATATTATCATATTTCATACATATTTACAGTACATATGGATTATTATATTATGATAATAATATATATATTTATATATTCGATTAATTTGTCATTATGCAATTAAAAAGTAAATTATTTTGGTTGTTTTTTAGCTAATTTTTAAAATTATTTGGGAATTAATGCAAAATATAGGCTTATCAGCTGTAATAATAGCTTGAAGATAGGAATGTACTAACATGATTTTAATATTTCGATACATTTGTGCATTAATCGCCTACATTAAATTAAAGTACTCGCAATTGCCATATACATTTACTATCGGATTACTATTAATAATATTATTAGATATTTTATGGGTTGTATCATCTGAATTGACAGAATATTTATTTACGATTAAAGACTATAAAAAACCATTTTTTATAACATATATGAATTCATTATGCCTCTCATTTTCTTATCTGGCTAAAATATCTTTTGATGTTATATGTAATTTATATTTTTATGTCAATAACTTTTATCGTAGAAAGAAATATAATTTAAACAAAATAAATACAAACAATTATACCTATATTGAATGTAATTCTCGTCAAGTGATTGCTGATGAAGATTTAAAAGAATATCAAAATTCTAGTTTCTTAAAAAATGATGAATATAAAAATATTAATCATATAATTGACAATGAAACTGAAGATTTACTGATTAACCAAACTTTTAATCCTAAAATTTCAGAAAATAAATTAAATTTCCTTATAATGAATAAAGATATCTTAAAAGTATCATCATTTTTAGCCATTCTATATTTTAGTCAAAATTATTCTTATTCTTTGGCATTATCATTTACTTCACCATCTTTAGTAAATGTATTATCCTCTACATCCAGTCTATTTGTTTTATTATTTGATTCAATCATAAAATATACAAAATCTAAAAATAATAGTATTGGTGACTTTCAATCCTACAAATGTGAAAGATTTTGTTTTTATAAATTATTATACTCACTTTTAAGTGTATCAGGTGTTTTGCTAATTAGCTTTTCAAATACTAAATTAGACTTAAAAAGAATGAATAATTCAACTGATAAAAACAGCATTCAAATCCAACAATTTTATTTAGTTAATATCACATCTAACCAGGCCATCGTAGATATACCTCTTTATTGCTCATATAATGATTTCAACCAATCCTCAGTCTTAAAAGGTGCTGTATTTTCATTGAGTGGAGCAATTATTTATTCATTGTATTGCTTATCTTTCCAACTTTTTAAAGGATCTAATTGTGATATACGTTTCTTTATCAGCATTATTGGTGTATGGTCACTTTTTCTTTTATGGCCTTTATTTTCCATATTAAATTTTTTTTGTATTGAAATATTTGAATTACCTTCTTCTCTTATTCAATGGATAATTATCATATTTAATGGGTTAATTGGGTCTATGCTGACTAGCATTATATATATTATTGCTAATATATACACTTCCCCATTAATAATTACTTTAGGCACTACCTTAACCATACCAATGACCATTTTATATGACATTGTTTTTTCCCATTTACACTTTTCAATATTATTTTACATGGGAACATTAAATATATTGATATCTTTCATTGGAACTGCATTTCTAATATGATTTTATATTTATTCCTTTATATAAACATATTTCAAATAAGTATTGATTATACAATTTTTTTTACAACTGTATATTGTTATACTCAGAGATCTGCAATACTAATTTTTATTTTAAAATAATTTAATTTAATTGGTAGATATCATGTCTTGCAAAGATTTATATTATATATCATGAAGAAGAAGAAAAAATGTTTTTTTTAAACTTTATTTAAAGTCTCAATAATATATAGTTGAATATTCTTTAAAATTTAATTTATCAAGAAAATATTATATAATAATTAACTCAGTCAAATATCTTTTGTGAAATTGCGAATTTTAATAAAATTATTATTTCTTAAACAATAAAATCTGAGTAGCTCATTTATTTTTATTTAATAATGTTATTTAAATAAACAATTTGTATAATTTAGTCATTTAGGACATATATAAATATATTAGAATATACAACACAGTTGTGGTGTTAATTATTTGGGTCAAGCCAAATGGTTTGATTTCGAGGATCTAGTCACAAGAAATCAAACCAACCGTGATAAATTTTAGCAATTAAATCCTCTAAGTTAGTGGGGCCTATTGCTCGATTCGGCTAATTTACAAAACTAAATATAGCTATAAATAATCTCTGAATCTAGGTTCATTTGAAGAACTATTTGCTAGCTAATTCCAAAATAGCACAAAAAATTTAATAATCTTAATGGATATGGCAAAATGTTCTTGCGTTTAAGAAATTGAGGCATTGTGGTAGTCATAAAATGAAAACGATACATATATACTTGGAAATTATACAGGATATTTTTTAAATATATTATTTATTCACCTATTATTTTAAAATATGGAAACTATTCGGAATTAGTATTCCTACTATGTAGAAGATATAATTTTTAATATGGGAACGCTCTAAATATCCGAAATTTTTCGAAATGATATTTTGCAACACTCAATTTTTGGCTCTTTTAACCTTAACCAAACGCTCTGGCATGGGCTTAGCATTATAATACACTTTTATAAAGAAATCTTAAAAATGTTTTAGCATTTTTTAAATAGATAATTTAAATTTATTGTATGATTTGGTTTGGTTATCAACTTTATCGCCTATTTTTATGCTCAATATTTATAGATCATAACATTTCTGTAATTATAATTACTAGAGATATTCCTCCTTAGTTCGGCTTTTACCCTGATAAAAGTTATGTAATGAAGATTGGAGTGGAATAAAAGTAGGAAAATGTCCCTGAAGACTTCTCGGTTCGAATAATAAATGTATTCTTTCTCTTTATTATTTTTTTAAGTTGATTCCATTAAAAACACCTCTAATATTTTAAATTAGCATGCGAATTTTGTTTAAAATGTTTAGATAACCGAATTAATTCGTTCAGTGAATTCATAACTAATTTAATGGAGTTGACATAGTATTACGATAAACATCTTAAATATTAAGGGGGGTGGGGTGGGCATAATAAAAAAATTAGAGGAATGGATGGGATACTAATTTTTATTTTAAGTGGTACTAAGTACCTCACTCGATCTATTTTACTAATGCGAGTTAGTGTTTTGTTTAGTTAAATTTTATTTCTATTCTTTTTTAAGAAAATTTATATATATGTATTCAAAACCAAGAACCGACCGAATTGTAGTTTGGTACAAACCACAATCCGAGATTTGGTTTTTATACGCGGTTTAGTTTTTACATTGTAACCTATAATTCAGTTTGTCTTTGAAAATGGGTTACAGACCGAACCCTGACATTAACATGTTAGTATATTGCTATGGATGGCAAAGCATTAAAAGTTCTTTTTTTTTACATTGCTTCAATATTTTTTTTAAAAAAGGAGCAGGTGTAATTCCAACTTAGAGATTTGCCCAGGGGATAGTGGTCAAAGAGCATTATCAATTGATAGATTGCAGTTTCTTAAAAGTTGGGAATGCGCGGTTTTTTAAAAGCGAGCATATTTATTGAGAAGTGGCGTTGCTGCCGACCTTGGCTTTTGATATAATTTGTTCAATGTCTTGCTTTAACGTTTAATAAGTGGTTGCAATTCATGCAGCTGTGAGAGTAAAGTCGCAACCGTTTCCAGCACAGTCACACTGAGTTGATTGGTTAAAAGATTTAGGTTTTTTGACAAAGCTTCCATTCGTGGTACTACTAATATCTACAAAAGATGAAGAGGAAGATTAATTAATAAAAGATTTCGATATTAATGGTAAAGATGTATTTCCGTGTTTTACTATTATAGGATTCACTATTTCGGGAGATATTGATAGGGCTAATACTTGAACCTAAAGAATTCTTATTCCTTAGTCAGAATATTCAATTAAAAGGGACACAATTATGTTTTACTTAATTTTTTTCTTAATTATTATATATATGTTTTTTAATCTTTTATTATTTTGATTCTTAAATGTTTTATTTAGGTTTAACAATTTTATATATTTTTAATAGAATAATAAAATATGTTGGGTAAAAAAAAAGTTTTAATTCTAAGTGAAACGAAAAAATACAATATTAATTATTAATAAATTTGGAAACAATTTAAAAAATTTTTTTATATGATTAGTGAACAGGGTTAATTATAAAATAATATTTCATTTATTCTGACTTATGTTTGGTATCTGAGGTAATAGGAGCGGGCCCTGATGATCTTTCGATGAGTTACGTCTTTAATGCAATTGAATTTTGAATTCCGAACACTAATTGGGTGTGATTAGCCTTTTTTTTAAATCGGGGCGTGATTCGGTATCCATTAATCTTGCATGAACCAAAGTTTAGTTTTTTAATTGTTTTAAAATATATTTATTTTTGTTATTATGGTTTAACTCGTGGAAATTATTTTTGATCAGATGACCTGTTAGATTTGACAAGTTATTAATAAAAATGATTAAATTTTATTAAAAACTATTTTTAATATCTAGTAACCCTAACCTATATATCTCTGATCTATAATCATATATACTTGTTTAACTTGAAATATATTTCATCCGATTGAAAAATTGGGTATACATCCACAGGAATTTTTTTTAAAGCCTTTTTTTCTATGACAATTTCCGGTTTTGTACTTTCGCATTTGGGTATTAATCAGGTTTCTATCGCATTTATTGATATCATAATAAAGATCCATATTAAGCTATATAATATTTAAATTATTGCTCTAACTTAATTTATTCTTGAGAAATTTGTAAGTCAATAAAGTTTTGCATACTTTCAATTTATAATGGCCCCACAAAACCATCATTTAGCAAGATATAATATCATAGTGTATACTGTCGATTTTCAATTGTGCACAATTGGAAGTTTTTTAAAAGAATTACGGTCTCCAATTGACGAACCGGACTTTTAATAATATTTAAATTTTCCTCACTATTCAATTCTTATAACTTTTATAAAAAGATCTGTCTTTATTATATTTTTTATTACTTTTCTAGAGAGTTACTTTAGTTTTTGTAATTCTTTTTCTTTTCTAGTTTATTTTTATTTTGTAATATACTATGAAAACGAAAAGTTTGACCAAAAGGCACTTTATCTTTATATTATTCATAATTGATTTGGTATTGACATAAAATACTTTTATATTTAATAAAAAATGATTTTAAAAAAAGGAATTTAAATTAGGTAAAAAAGAAAATAATTAAAAGGCCAGTTTTGGAAAAGTGTAGGATTATGAAATCACTATCCATTTTAGAATCACTACCCTGGTGATTTTTAAGAAATGTGATTATTTGTAATAATTTTGTATTTTTTTTAAATATAATTTTTACAATTTTTTTTCTATTTAGTTGTTATATTTTAATGATATTTTTAGTATATAATATATATATAATTATATTATAGTTTTTATATAAATTTAATTAAATAATAATATTGAAACTTAAAAAAAAAGCAACTCGATTTAAAACTCTTCGAATCCAATACTCTATTTGAATTAATATCAAAAATTAATATTGGCGAGGACTCTATAGATTAAGTATACTTATAAGCCTTCTTTAAAAAAATATAACAAGACGTATTAAAAATTAACAAGGATGTGCTAGGTGCTTTTCTGAAAAGTACATGCTATTCAGTTTTGTCCTAAAATTAAGACGAGTAAGGACGCAGCCTTGTCATTATAATTTTTAAATAAAATTATCATATTTTATTACAAAGTTATTAAGTTAAAACAGATTATAAGGATTAGAGACCACAAAACCAAAATCTTTGCTAAAATATGCTCGTAGCCCGGTGGAAATTTATTTAGTTCTAGGCTCGGCCCGTGGCTCGTATTTTTTAAAAAGCTATAGATAAAAAATCTCAAACTCAAAAAATTTATTTTATGCTCTATTTTAATGTTATGTATTAAATTTAAATATATAGCAATAACATTTATAATTTAATGATGTTCATCGATAAAATTTAAAACAGGTAATATAATGTAGTAAAATTAAATTTAAAAAAACATATGGAATACAAAATTATGCTAAAAAAAATAAAATATCATAAGAAAATAATTTAAATATTTTCCACCTCCTGATTTTTTTTAAAAATTTCTTATTTTTCTGGGCACGAGCCGGGACTATATTTTATTGATGATATTATCGTCGGTCCACAGTGGGGGTATAATTCTCATCCATAGAAGCGCATCTTTTTGAAATAGGTCCATATTACCTGATAAAGTATTGAAGATAATTTTGATACAGATCATATCAACAAAAAAATGTTAATAATATGGAATTTTCTATTCCTGAATCGCTATATATTTTAATCTCGATAAAAAAAATTAACAGGGTAAAAATTTTATTTTAAGATGTACCGGAAGGTTTTATCATCAAACAAGACTAGTGGCTTCAACGAGGAATTAAGAGCAATATCAAACAAATTTAATATCGATTTATAGCCCAATCCTTAATATTCAAAATAATATTTGAATCAAAGCTCTATCTACAATATTTTCTGAGCTAGATGAGTTTATTTGAAAGTTGATTATATGGCCCAATCCAAACATGGTAAGTTTCAACTGGCCACAAAATATATTCAAGAACTATATTATAAATTAAAAAAATACAATAAATAATTAATATTATATTTTCATTATCAGACTCACTATTTTATAAATTATTATCTACATGTTAAACATGTTTAAAATTAACGATTCATCTATATATATTTATAAGTTTTATCAAGAGATGCTAAAATACTTATTTCAATCTTTTCGCATCTTAACCAATTTTGAGAGAAATTGGTTCAGTTCAATAGATAAAAAGTTAAAGGGTGGTGGCCTGGCCAGTCAGCAAACATGGATGGTAATTTATGCCA